TTTTTTTTCCTCTCACTAGATTTCCCTGGTATTCTTGCAAGTTATGTAAGATGTTAGTTTAGTTAAATCTTTCTAACAAGGAAACTGAGGCCTACTCTGTGGTGAGAGGCACAGGAGTGGGTGGAGGGAAGCCCTGTGAGTGTGGAGGCCACACCTACCAGCTGGCATCTGGGTGAATTCTGGCAGGTCCTTGGACCGCCCACTTCAGTCTTCCTATGTGGACACACCTTGCTTCATTGTGGAGTGTTAATGTCAACATTCACAGATGAAAGTTGCAAGGTTTGTAATGGCTTTGTCAATGCTGTCCCACTGTGAGACATTCACTGGTTTTATAAAGAGAAAGGCTGCAACTTAACTATATCAATATTCCTTCCCCAACTACCTCATTTTAGCTCAAAACTCAGATCATACATGATATCAAGTCTTTAGTGTTTGAAATAAAACAACTGAATAAAAATATTGACCAAGGGTTTCGCATCTTGAGGGATGGCTGCTTTTAAAACACCACTGAAAACATAGGAGCAGTTTTCTGACACTTACCCTCCTTGATCTTCCCAGCTTTGATATAAGGGCTAAGAAATAGAGGCCGTCCTGCATTTCCCTTGAATGGCCTGGAAACATGGGTGTTTCGGTATATGGAGCGAAACAGTCCATCACCAGGGCTGACCATAAACAGAATCAATGAAACAATCACCTTCCACATGGCACCAACCATTTCTTGACCTGGGACAAAAGAAGTAACATTCCACACATGAGTCAAAAGTCAGTATTTGCCTATCCCCTTGTTTACTACAAGAAAAACCAAAAAGGAAAACAAATAAGAAAACCTTTCCTATTGTGTATAAAGGCAATTTACTGAGTACCTTGGCCATCACCAGGAAATAAGTCAGTCCCACCCAATCCCTCTAGATGTTGACCTCAGCTACATAGAGAAAGATTCTGCAAGCGATTTACAATGTACCTGGAAAGCAACTGCTCAAAAAAACTATGATCTGGAAAGTAGATCCAGCAAAGAATTAGGCAAAGCTGGGGAGCAACCAGGGCTCTAGAAATGGCCCCTGAGTGAGTGAGTGGCAGGGACCATTCCATCACTGCAGAATGGCCGGGCATGAAAGGGGCTCGAACTCAGGCATATGGGAGCAACAGGAAAAGCATGTGCATGCACACCACACACACACACACACACACACACACACACACACACACACACACACACACGGCGCTGAACATACAGGAGATGGCTTAGGCAAAAGGAAGACCAAGGGTTTCCAGTGCACTTCACAGGGGAATTTAAAATAAGCTATAGGTTTTCTGGTTGTTTTTTTTGTTTTTTGTTTTTTTTTAGGATCACTCTATCTCTTATAAATCACAAGTTTTATATCCAACCAAACAGAAAGAAGATGTAACTGTCATCTGATGAATAAACTTAAGAAATTAGGCCCCATGGGATGCATGCACACCTATAATCCTAGTTGTAGAAGGGAGTTTCTGTCCCGCCCCATCTTACAGTCCCAAATAATCACACTGAGGCTTATATTATCTATAAACTGCTTGGCCTATTGCTCAGTCTTATTACTAGCAAACTCCTACAACTTAACAATAATTCTTATCTATGTTTAGCCACACGGCTTGGTACCTTTTCTCAGTAAGGCATTGTCATCTTACAGTCCCAAATAATCACACTGAGGCTTAGATTATCTATAAACTGCTTGGCCTATTGCTCAGTCTTATTACTAGCAAACTCCTACAACTTAACAATAATTCTTATCTATGTTTAGCCACACGGCTTGGTACCTTTTCTCAGTAAGGCATTGTCATCTTTCTTTCTCTGCATTTGGCTGCCTTCCTTTTCCCAGAATTCTCCTAGTCTGGTAGCCACACCGATACTCCTTCCTGACTACGGCCTCTTGTAACTACAGATCCATGGATCTGACACCCTCTACTGGCTTCTATTGGCAATTGCACACAAGTGCACATACCCACACACAGACACATGCACACACAGTTAAGAATAAAAATAAATATTTTTTAAGAGAGAGGAGAAAAAGGAGAATATTGGCAACAATCTTTAAATGTGATTTTTGCTGGGAGTATTCTCATGGCACATCATAGCGACGACTTGAAATTATGTTGCCTGCTATCCAGACTTTACATAAACACATAGATTGTGCTTGCATGACTTCCATCAGAAAGGCAAGATGATACACATCAAGGGGAGGTAATAAAAGTGGACTTGACGGGTGGTGTCACGATGTCATGACGTGAAGATAGACAAACCAGGGCCTGACTTCCCGGCCCATGGGTATGTGAGATACACGGAGCTCTTGCTAAATGTTATCACAGGCTGGCTTCATTTAAAATCTTGTTTTAGAAGCAGAGATGGCTCGTGCCTTTAATCCCAGCACGCAGGGAGGCAGAGGCAGGCAGATCTCTGTGAATTAGAGGTCAGCCTTTGCCTCTAAGTTCCAACATGCCAGAACTAAACAGAGATAGCCTGTCTCAAAACAAACAAACAAATCTTGATTTATTTCTATCTCAGTTTTCCTGTTATCATTATATGGAGTTTTTAATGTGTTGCATGAAAATACTGGTCCCTTGATTACCAAGGTTCTTTTTTGTTTTTGTTTGTTTGTTTGTTTGTTGGTTGGTTGGTTGGTTGGTTGGTTGGCTGGCTGGTTGGTTGGTTTCTGGTTTCTCTAGATAGGGTTTCTCTGTGTAGCTTTGGTGCCTGTCCTGGCACTGATTCTGTAGATTAGGGTGGACTCAAACTCACAGAGATCTGCAAGCCTCTGCCTTCTGAGTGCTGGGATTAAAGGTGGGCACCAACACCTGGCGATTACCAAGCTTTTGTCACTGCCTTAGATCATCCACCTGTGGCAGATGCCTCTCTTGCCACACCTTCACCCCAACGCTGCCTGGCGTATTACAGTGCTGCACCCGCCAGCGCCTGGCCCGACACCACCAATGCTTAAGCATGATGGGCAGCCTTAGCTCTGAATTCTGCTTTGGGTGGTTTTGTTTTAGAGCTGGGGATGGAACTCAGATCCCTGTACATGCTAGATAAGTACTCTGCCTCTGAATCATAACCCTAGCAGCTAAATTATAAACAAAATACTGTGCAGTGAATAAATACACCATTCACTCAGGTGTTTCTGATTACAAAAGGAAATATACAATTATGCAAATACTATGCCTGATTTTGTTTTTCAGTGCTTCAAAATGTCAAACCATTAGAACATTTTAAAAATACAATATGTGTGCAAACCTATTAACCACATGTTTAACACAACCCAATTTAGCATAATACAAGATACTGGGTTGCGGCAAATTTTAAAAGCTTTTCAACAATATTTTCCCATTGAGGTAACAGTTTATAATCATAATTTGATTGAATATATGACCCTTATCATGTCTCTCAGGGTTAACTTAATAGAATTCTCTATGCTTACTATAAACAAACCCATCCAAACATAGTACGTAGCTAAAAATGATTTTGCTTATTATTGACTATAATAAAGAGCCAAATGCATTTAGAAATTGAAATTAAGTTCTCAAGAGACCCAGGGGTAATGGCCACTATGGCACAGTTAAGATATTGTTTTTAATTATGCAAATTTGTTACACAAGGCTTTAATCACATAGCTACTTTCAAAAAATGCCTGAAATCAACAATTCTACTGATTTGGAAAAGAGAAGCATAGTGTTAAAAAAAAACTAGCACTAATAGAAGAAGCTCTTCCAGGAAGAGGGTCCCCTGGGGCAGACACAAAAACCCACCCTGTGTCTAGTTTCCCTCTCTTCCAGCACCAAGCATCCAGCCTGCTTAATGGCACCATTAATATTTAAACAACTACTGTAGTCACAGCATTGCTCCCCAATGCAGAGCTTCACTCAGAGAAGCAAAAAAAAGGACAGTAGGTGCAAGGGGGCTATTTTAATTGACATAAATTTAGTACACAAAAGTAAGAGTTAGGTCAATTTAGCAGAGCTCATTAACATTTAATCAAATAACTACTGGAGTCATGGTTTTCCACGTCTGTGAATTAAGGCAACAGCATACTTCATTTCACAGTTCTCATTTAACAGTCAGAAACCTACAACTGCTCAGCTGTCATCTCTCCTAAGGGAAATGAAAACCATTAACATGAATGGAGGAATGGAAAAAAAAAAGAAAGAAAGGAACCAACCTTTTGCTGATCCTAAGTTGGACTAAATCTCTTATTTGTTAAACATTGAGGACTCTCTGAATGAACAAGCCTATACTAGACAGAAGCTGTGACCCACAGAACTTAAGAAAAGAAAAAGACAAAGATAATCTACTGACAACACATTTTATCAAGCTGACTTGAATGAATACGGGGGGGGGGGGGGGGCGCACAGAGCAAGCTCCAGTCTAAATGCATCATAGTGAAGGGTTCCGGGAAAGGGCCCTCTTCGCGTTTAGAGACACAAACTCTAGGTGAATTCCAACCGTATTAAGTAGAATCGAATCAAGGCAGTTCAAAAGTATGTGTTTGCTAAAACCATTAAATACTACTGTTAGAATCCAAGTGTCATACATTGTCTATATTAAGCAAAGCTATTTACCCCAATGTTCTTTAGGATAAGAAAACAACATACAACATCAACAGTGACACACCAGATAAGCAAGCTGCCACTCACTAAGGTTGATATAAACAACACCTGATATGGTTACAGAGAACCCTTTGAAAATACGACAAAGTATTGGGTAAAGAAAAGTAGACAACCAGACTAGATATAGGTATTTTCTCCTTGTTTTACACTTCTTATAAATTTCTAAGTTTCCTACAACAATTAATCTTATAAATACAAAAGAGCAGTTTTTCTGATAATTTGATTATCTTTCAGACAAAATGAAGCAACCAATAGACATGACAAAAAAACAGGGGGCTTGTTTCTTATTTCTCATTACTACCTGGTTATGACCTCTTGCGTTTCCTAGGAATAAGGTTCTGTTTGTTCTTTTCTCTCGAACATTCTATTAAGGTGCGTCCTGATCTAAAGTCAGAACTTCAGAGGCTCGAAGCGGGCTTTTCCTTGGTAACGTAGAAGGATCTGGATGAAAGTGAGATGCTGTTGCCATTCATTATTACTATATTCGTGTCTGGTTCTGCTTAGAGTCTATAACAAATGTATGTAAGCATCACTAGGCAAATATGTGTGAGGCTGATGGACCTAAAGGGACCCAAGGTTTTCTGTCTACAGAAGACATTAGATGTTCATATATTCATAGGTGTCTAGCAGGGGAGAATACGCAAGCCTGACAAAAAATGGACTTGCTTAGAAGGATCCCATAATCAATCAGCAAACGGTGGGGCCGAGACTCAAAGTCAGGATTCATTTAAGATCCAAATCTATCTGCTTTCCACTGCCCCCATCTTGGGCTGTTCATATTTTGACTCCACTCTCGATAGACAAGAGTCACAGATTGTTGACAATACACAGACAAGAGATAAATGGAATACGGAGAAGCTAGTCTTGCTGGGGAAAGCCTGCCACCATAACTAATGGCTCTTGGTAAGATGGCAGCTTCCCTGTGTCTCCCTCGGTGTGGCGGACCATGACTGGGACAGTTGCCAGTTACATCTGCAGGAGCCCTGAGAGACAGTTCTTTGACACAGATACTGTTTTTAAAACTCAGACTACAAAAGCTAATTGTGGAATGAGTTCTATCTTAAAGCAAGTTCAAAATTAACCCCCCAAACTTATCACTTGCTGGTTATTTTACTACTAACTTTAGTGGTTTGGAGTCATGCTTTTTCTTTTTTCTGTCTCTTTTTTTAGATGTGTGTCTGGCGTGAAAGCTTTCTTCCATGCATCTTTCGCCAACTGTGTCCCTTAGTTGTGGAGAGTCTGCATCAGCTATTTCAGCAGTATTTACACCAGAGAAATGGGCAATGTCGCACACAGGCCTCTCACCCCCAGCGTCCACTGCTATGGAGGTGTCTGCACATCCTTACCTGTAAAGTGAGCTGGACACCACTTCTCATCGGCTCCCACTCCAATCTCCACCAAGGTGGTCAGCAGGAGGGACCTGAAGGAAGTCCTGATCAGTTGCACCCTGTGCATTAGAGCAAGAGTGGCAGGCTCAGTCCAGAAGCCTTGGGAAAGGAAATCCAAAAAGGCCACTTGAAGGGTCTTGCTAGTGAGAAAGAGATGCAAAATGTCAGCAAAGGCACACACACACACACACACACACACACACACACACACACACACACACCGTGCAGACCTGCCTCTGTCTCCTCCCCTTTACTCCCCACTTCTCCATTGTACACTACGACTACTTCAGCCAAAGGAATAATGTTCCATGTGATAGACAGTGTTGCCGCGATTACAATAGGCATCTGGATTCCTTTACACATTTAATTGCATTTTAGATGCCGAAAGTGATAAATGGTATTTTGAAAAATAAAAATAAAGCAAGCCAGTAACAGACACTTCCATGAAATCTGCAATTTAGAAGAGTACAAGTAAGTGGTTCTGCTGTGTAGAAAAGATCCGGGCACCTTGCAGGGTTCTATGAGCATAAAGGAGGCATGAGAATTTGATAATTAAGGGCTATTGTGTAACCTTGAATTAAATAGCTGCCCAAATCCTAAATGTAGCCATATTGCTAAAGGATTTCCATGTAAGCAAATGAGCAAAACAAAATTCATTTCCAGATCACCATTGTTCATGTCCTGAAGACATCATTTCAATTTCTAAACTTGATATTTGAATCCTGACACACTGTAAGGTGAAAAGCAGGCTTTGGCTGCAGTGACCTGGCAATGCCTATCTCCTTTTCCCAGGCTTCACTTCTGGCACAAGACCTGCCGCCTGACCTCTCTGATGGATTTAGCTCTTGCTATCTCTGCCACCACAGCCTTGCACTTGGGAGAGTGGGACACAAACCTAGAATTGTGTGGCAGGTAAAGGATGACCAGGGTCAGAAAAGGAGAAAATAATACAATCACAGGCCGAACTGCGGACTTTTTTGGGGCTCTCACTGTACTTGGGGAAGTGAGGGAGGTCAGGGAGGATGGGAAATAAAGTGAGCATGCCTCTGGTGTTTATAAGTGTTTTGAAACAGACCGTGTTCATGATCAAAGGCATCATCATACCATGACACAGGTGCCGGCAGCCTATGGGTAAACACTGAGTCCTCCTCCCATACAAAGCCCTATGCTAATTGCTTTCTGGTTTTTCTTCCTAACCCTTATCAGGTGGGTAGTACAATGGATCACCCTATTTTCTAGTGGACAAACTGATTCTTAGAGAATTCTCTCCTGGATTCACACATATCATATCTAAGAGAACAAAGAACTCAGGGATAGGTTCATGTTCTGAGAACATGAAACCCCCAAATATGACACCTGGGCATACAATGCAAACTGACTCTTCCACTCTCCCCTCTGAAGTCATGCGCATAGTCTGCCTTTCCTACTCTGAAGATGGTTGTAGGACCCTCTATCCAGAGGGGCCCTTGCCTTTCCCAGAAGGAAAGACTAGTGAAGAGCCCAGTCCCACTGACCCATCTGCTGCCCTAGACCCTCCTGTTTATCTGTCCAAAACTGCGGTTTACCATGGGTCTTAGCTTTCCAAAGGCTCCCGGGTCACTTAAAACTTACATTACATAAACGTGCTGTGCTTTTCTGTGTTAATTCTTTTTATTTGTCGTTAATTCTTTTTTCTCAGCTGCCAACCTTGTGGTGGGTGAGGGAATGACATTTTTCTTCCCTTCAAAACCCAGTCCCGATTAGATTACAAAGCCCGCCCCATCGCCCCTGTACCGTCACTTCCCTCCATGTCTCTTTCCCGTTCGGGTACATATAGACCTACCACATGATACATACTCAGAATCAAAGGACTAGTCTGAGAAGGCCTGCTTAAATATGGAACTTTAGCCCTAGAATCGTTCCACAAGTTACTATTTGAACAAGGAAGTCTCTTTCGCTTGTACAACCGGCATAAATAACTCCGTGGAGCATGCCTTGTGATTGTATTTCTTTCACGAACCTTTCTGGGGAACAACTGTGTCCTCCCTGGGTCTTGCCCTCCAAACCCTCAGGAAAGCATTTGACTAATTGTGGCCAAGAAATAGATCTCTGTGGGAATGGACAACAACGAGAAGTCACCAGCCCTGAGCAAAGCGCAAAGGCCCTGGGGTGCAAACAAGCCTGTCAAGTGGCAGGAGCAGACTCAGTAGCTAGAATGAAGCAAAGGGAGGGGTGGGCAGAAACCTGCAGTCCTCTGACTGCCTGTGGGTCAACAGTGAGGCTCTAAGCCACGGAGCAATAGTGTGAAGCAAATTGTGAAATGACCACTCCAGCTGTTCTCTGGCAGGTGGACGTCAGCAGCGTAAGAATGGAACAAGGAAACTAATTAGAGGAGGCCCTCATGGTTTGGTACTGATGAAAGACACTGTACCAGGGAATTACAGCAGAGGTCCTAAGGAATGGCCAGCTGTTTCTTTGAAGGCATAGCCACCTGTGTCTGTTAATGGGGTGTGTTGACTCAGGGGAAAATAAAAACCATGGAAGACAGCTGTCTCAGTCCATTTTCAGTTACTTCAGCAACACACCCAGGACCGGGGAACCTGCAAACACTAGAAAATGATTTGATGGCTCTGCTGGAGAGTCTAAGAGCATGGTGGCACTGTCTGCTCAGCATCAGGCAGGCTGGTTACATCATGACATGGTGGAAGTCATCCACGGGGAGACAGAGCAATCAGACTAGCCAGGGGCTCTCTTCTCCCTGTAAAGCCATGACTGCTATTCCATCACTGCAGAATGGCAGGGTGTCTGGTCCACATTTCAGGTGGAGATGACATAGGGGGCTCTCCCCAAGGTAACTGGAAATGAAAGGGGGTCAAACTCAGGCATATGGGAACAACAGGGCCCTAACTGCCACCACCTTGACAGGGGACCTTATTTGGAAAAAGCAGCTTTGTAGATGTAATTGGTTAAGTTAGGAAGAAGTTTAGGGTGGAGTTTGTCACACATAATCCATGTCTTTAGAAGGAGAATGAGGACATACAAGAAGGAGAATGCCCTGAAAAGACGGAGAGATGCAGAATACAGCCACACAAGAAATGGAAACCAGAGTGGTGCAACTAGGGGCCCTGGAAAGCAGCCAGAGCTGGAAGAGGCAAGGAAGGACTCTTAGAGATTTCAGATTGGACCCCTGGAGCTGTGGCTGTACTGCAGCCTCCAGAGCTGCTGGATCGCAAGTTCCTGTTGTCTCCAGTGTGTGTGTTCTGATCCCAGCCTTAGGAAGCTACAATGCAGGCAGTAGAAACCCTCCTGGAGGCATGGCAAGAGAAAGTAAAGTACAAAAACCCAAGAACTCTTTCAGTTGCCTTTAGACACATACAGAAAAACTCCAAGCAGTCAGCAAGACATGGAAGGGGGAGCGAAACTAATTTCTCACATAAGGTAGGATGAGCATGGGGGGAAAGCTCTAAACTCAAGCCAACCAAAAGATCCTCCCAAAATTGACCTCACTAACTGCTTTAAGTCTGCAGAATCTGGGAGGCATTCAAGGTGAAGACAAGGGAGAAAGCCCACAGACTGGCTTGTCTGGTTCTTAAGTCCTTGACTCACCCTCAGTATTGCTCTGTCAGCCGTTTCTGAAGGCAGGCACTGTTCTCACTCTGACTTTCTGCAGTCTGACTTCTGTCCACACCATCTTGCTAAAATCACCAATGAGCTCATTTCCAAATTAAAAAGAATAAAATATCAATCTTCACAGGATTTTTCTGGAGTTCACAATGCCTCTTCTATAGCTTTACCATGCTCTGTCTCGTTGAGTCTGAGCTTTTACGAATTTCTCCACCACAGCTCCCTCCATCTTTGGGGTTCCCAGGAGCCCACCCTTGGTCGAATGATTATCACCCCACCCCCACACTCTCCTGGGTAGTCATCATTTTAACTAGCACTTTCTGTTGACGTATGTCTCTAACATTTCTGGCTCACCTCTCCAACTCCCTGCTGAAGTTCCCATCTGAATTCCCCTCAGTGTTAAACTCCAGATGTCAAAATGGACACTGGTCTCCAGTCATGTTTGGTTCTATCCTAGGTCTCTGGGCCACCCAGCCTTTGGGTCCTGGTGCTCCGGGCAGTGTCAGGGGTGGCATAGTCTCAAGGCATTCTTCTCAGCCTAGACCAGTCATTGGTTGGCCACTCCCTCAATTTCTAGGCCACCCTTACCCCCAGCACATCCCATAAACAGGACAGACTCTAGGTCAAAGGTTATGTGGCTGGGTTGGTGTCCAAATCCCTCCACTGGAAATCTTTCCTGGTCACAGGAGATGGCTAGTTTAGGCTACATATACTCTATTGCTAGAAGTCTTAGCTGGGACCATCCTTGTAGATTCCTGAGGCTTTCTCTTACACCAGTTTCTACCTGGCCCTAGATTGACCACCTTTCAAGTCATCTTGTTCAGTATTCTCCCCAACATGTACAACCCCCACCTGATCCCTCATGTTCTTATCACCACCTGCCCCCAGTCCACCCATGAAATCTCTTCTATTTCCCCTTCCCTGGGAGAGCCAAGGGTCCCCTTGAGCCTTCCTTATTACCTAGCCTCTCTGGGTCTGTGGATTGTAACATGGTTATCCTTTCTTTTAAAGCTAATATCTACTTATAAGTGAATACATACCATGCTTGTCTTTCAGGGTCTGGGTTACTTCACTCAGTATAATTTTTTCTAGTTCTATCCATTTGGCTGCAAATTTCATGATGTCATTGTTTTTAATAACTGAGTAACAGATTCCATTGTGTAAATGCACCACATTTTCTTTATCCATTCCTCAGTTGAAGGACATCTAGGTTGTTCCCAGGTTCTGACTATTATGAAAAAAGCTGCTATGAACATAGTTGAGAAAGTGTCCTTGTGATATGATGGAGCATCATATGAGTAAATACCCAAGAGTGGTACAACTGGATCTTACATCAAAAGGTGGTAAAATCTCCCATGCTCATGGATCAGTAGGATTAACATAGTAAATATGGCCATCTTACCAAAAGCAATCAACATATCAATACAATCCCCATTAAAATTCCAACACATTTATTTATAGACCTTTTAAGAACAATACCCAACTTTATATGGAAAAAACAAGAAACCCACAATAGCTAAAAAAAACTTGTATAATAAAAGAACTTCCAGAAGTATCACCATTCCTGATTTCAAGCTCTACTACAGAACTATAGTAGTAAAAACTGCATAAAAACAGACAGGTAGATCGATGGAATCAAGTTGAAGACCCAGATGTAAATCCATACACCTACAGACACCTTGTTTTCGACCAAGAAGACAAAATTATACAATTGAAAAAAGAAAGCATCTTCAGCAAATGGTGCTAGCATAACTGGATGGCAGCATGTAGAAGAATGCAGATAGATGAAGAATGCAGATAGATCCATGTCTATCACCATGCAAAAACCTCAAGTCCAGTGGACCAAAGACCTCAACATAAATCCAGATACACTGAACCTGACAGAAAAAAAACGTGGGGAACAGCCTTGAAAGCACAGGCCCCAGAGACAACTTTCTGAACAGAACACCAATAGCACAGGCACTAAGACAGAAAACAAATGTGACCCAATGAAACTGGAAAGCTTCTGTAAGGCAAAGGACACCCTCAACAGGATAAAACAGCAGCCAAAACAGAATGGGAAAAGATCTTCAATATCCCCACACCTGACAGAGGGCTGATTTCCAAAATATATAAAGACATCGAAAAATAAAAAAATCAAATTTAAAAATAGAGTACAGATCTAATCAGATAATTCTCAACAGAAGAATCTCAAATGGCAGAGAAAAGCTTAAGGAAATGTTCTACATCCTTAGCCATCAGGGAAATGCAAGTTAAAATGACTCTGAGATTCCATCATACTCCTGTCAGAATGGCTAAGACTAAAAACAGAAGTGACGGCTCATGCTGGAGGGGATATGGAGCAAGGGGGACACCCTCCATTGCCGGTTGGAGCACAAACTTGTGCAGTCACTTTGTAAGCCAGAAAACTGGGAATTGACCTATCCTAAAGACCTTTTTTCTAAGGCACAAAT